CTGAAAGAGGAAAACAAACAGACATTAAGATTTAATTACAAATGTAAATACTATATTCCTAAAATATTCTTCTTATTATTATTATTTTGCCAGAGAATTACACAAAATAAAACAAATCTGCAATAAAAACAATATATATAATAATATTGCCAAATATGAGACAATTTCATTTATTTTAATTTAATTTTTGTAGTAAAATCTTTAAAGTTTTATAACTTTTATTTAAAGTACAACTCCAGTAGTAGAATGCAAAATGCACATGCTGTCATAATTTACTCCCTCTCAAATAATTCCAAGCCTTTATTATTTTTTTTCTTTCAAACAAATTTAGATTTTAATTTGAAATCAGACTAACAAATGCAAATCAAGTATGCAAATTAAATTTGTGAGTTGTGAGTGAACAACTGTAAAAAAGATCTGTTTCTCAAACTATTTAATAATTGTAAAAGCAATTTCTACAGTAGACAGATGCTAAAATATGCTATAGTACGTTACATGAAATGTAGTAATCAAATCATGTCAAAAAACTTTATTTTTTTAAAATATGCTCTTACAAACATTTAGTTTATCAGTAATTAACATAAAAACTGAATATTTATAAATACAAAAACTAAATATTTAACAAAGTACTAAAATCTCTTTTCTTTTTCATTCCTTTAAAACCTGTATTAACACGTTTAATCTGTTTTTAATCACTTTTATTATTTGTTGTTTTTATTTCTTGTGTTTTATTTTAATTTTATTCTTGTTTAAGTAAAGCATTTTGAATATTTTTGATATTATTTTCTTCCAAACATTTAGTTTATTGGTACTTAATTATAAAAATACATAAAAATACAAAAACTAAATACGGTTCAATAATTTTTACTAAAACTAAAATGTCTTTCTTTTCTTTTTCATTCCTTTAAAACCCATTTTAACGCATCTTTATCTGTTTTACTCACTTTTATGTATCGTTTTGTTTTTCTTTTTAATGTTTGCATCTAATGTTTCTTTTATTCTTGTTTAAATAAAGCACTTTTATTTACCATTGTGTATGAAATGTGCTATACAAATAAACTTGCCTTGCCTAAAATATATTAAAATAAAAAGAGAGTGACTAAAAAAAAAACCTATTACATTATTTTCGCAATGCTTTTTCATTCCTTTAAAACCTGTTTTAACATAAGTTTAATCTGTTTTGATCACATTTAGTATTTGTTGTTTTTATTTCTTGGGTTTTATGTTTCTTTAATTATTGTATATGTAAAGCACTTTGAATATTTTTGATATTATTTTCTTACAAGCATTTAGTTTTTGGTCCTTAATTATAAAAATACATACAAATACAAAAACTAAATATGTACAATAATTTTTTACTGAAACTAAAATCTCTTTCTTTTCTTTTTCATTCCTTTAAAAACCATTTTAACACATCTATATCTGTTTTTAATCACTTTTTGTTTTTATTTCTTATTTTTGCTTAAGTAAAGCACTTCGAATTACCATTGTGTTTGAAATTTGCCATATAAACTTGCCTTGTCTAAAATGAAATAAATAAAAAACAGAAAGTAATAAAAAAAACCTATAATTTTATTTTCGTAACGCTTTTTCATTCCTTTAAAACCTGTTTTAGCACATTTTAATCTGTTTTTAATCACTTGTATTACGGCCACTTTATTAGGTACACCTGTCCAACTGCTCGTTAACACACGTGTCATATAGACATGGTCAAGACCATCTGCTGCAGTTTGAACCGAGCATCCCTTAAACCCTTTATGACCACAATAAACCCGTTTTCTGATGGCTACTTCCAGCAGGATAACGCACCATATCATAAAATGTGAATCATCACAGATTGATTCCTTAAATATGACAATGAGTTCACTGTACAGTCATCAGATCTCAACCCAATAGAGCACCTTTGTGATGAGGTGGAACGGGAGCTTGACATCATGGATGTGCAGCCGACAAATCTGCAGCAACTGTGTGATGCTATCAGCTCAATATGGAGCAAAATCTCTGAGGAATATTTCCAGCACCTTGTTGAATCTATGCCATGAAGGATGAAGGCAGTTCTGAAGGCAAAAGGGAGTCCAACCCGGTACTAGTAAGGTGTACCTAATAAAGTGGCCGGTATATATATATTCTCCAAAACCAGGAAGGAGCAAACACTGAGCAATAAAGGTGTCTCTAAAATAGCGTTAGTACAGAAGCAGATCTTTCAGCAGTATCTACACCTTGCCTTAAGCGAGACCTCTAGAACGGTACAAGTAATGTTCCTCCATGCGCGCTGGATCACGTCCCTCGTGGTGCCAAACAATAAATACAGCCCATGTGAGGGATTTCTATTTCCCCGATTGCCTAAGCTCTCAGCTCGGCTGTACTCCAGATAAGAATAAACTGTTTATAAGCCACGAGAGCTTCATCTCCGAGGATGTATCAAAAGCATAATTAAATGCTCTGACAGAATACGAGCGGTGGAAACCCAAACAAATTGAGCTCCTCGTCCACCGCTGTCCCCTTGTAAAAGCTGAACAGAAAGCTGACGGCGTCGTAATTAAAGATTGCCGGCGTCCAGGGGGAACAACAGATATATCAAAGCGTGCTCTGCCTGCTTTGTTTACCTCTGTCTCTGGCTATAGATGCATAATGCAAACTGCGGCCCTCGCTGGAGATCAGGTCTTCATCTTTTCTCGCTGTCGCTTTCTGTCCAGGAGACCTTGTCATTTTCTTGAATGTTTTCCTCAGAGCACTGATGTCAGCAGGATTGATGCAGTGTGTGTGTTCTGGGGTCCGTTCTTCGTACGTGGATTACTCAGTTAGCTGGATTTGGATATTGACGATTTGACACGATCCAGGATGGTTTCGTTCTTCAAAGCTGATCCGAGAGTTGTTGTCATAGCAACAGTTCTGCTAGCTCAAACCTGATCGGGAGCAGGTTCAATTCATATAAACAGGATTAGATCGGCTCAGTTCAGGCAAAGATACTACAGAAAGTATGTACCCAATTCTGATATTTTCTTACAGTAGTAGTTATATACACTTGGTAAAATGGTACATATTTTTTAACTAAATATATAAAGTTATAGTTATTAATAAAATAAATAAAGTTATACATATTAATAAAACGTATGCAATCTGCACCCTCGAAATGAAAGTACAAAGACTGTCACCTGGTGGTGCAAAGAGAAAACTTATTGATATGAACTTTTTTGATTGCTTTAGTACAAATTGTGTATAATAGAAATGCACAATATGTCACTTTTGTAAAGCAATAATACATTTCAGTAGTCATGAACATGTTTTGACAGTTAATATGCCAGTGCTTTGATGCTTCACAAAAGTTACAGACGCCTTTACCAATATGAAAACGCTTTTGTAAACAACCAGTTATTCTTTACACCGATTAAAAAATGGCTACTATAATAAAGAAAATCTTCTCTAAATGTGGAACTAAATACATTGATTTGCATTGAAATACATGATGAATACTCTTGACACATGAAAGTGTAATCAAGCCTGCAGCTCCCAACAAATGTGGAAGGTTATTGCGTGTCATATTTAACAAGCCGTTTACTGCTAATTTGATGTAATTTTGCTCACATGGATAATTGAATATTAATCAGATGATGTCATTACGCTGCTGTGCCGTCAGCCAATCGCTGCATTGCTGATCATGATTTCGAGGATCGATAGATCTGTCCTTCACAACACACGCAGCGATCTCAGATCAGTTCATCCAGACATTTTAATCTGATTCCTGAACTCGTTTGAAGAACCAAATTAGCGAGAGATCAGTTATCAAGATTAAAAGATCCGGGATCTGCCAAATAATCTTAGATCATTTAAGCGAGGTACGAAGAACGGACCCCTGGTTTATGGTGTTGTACTTAAAGGGTCCCGAAACACCAAAACACATTTTTTGAGCTGTTGACAGTCGTATATGTGTCCCACACTGCTAAAAACACTATTAGGACACCTATATTTCACTAAAAAGTGTAAATTGGTTGTTTTTGCGTTATTTCAAGCAAATTCGTACTTCCGGTTTGAAACGAATTTTTGAAGCTGCGTCACGGTCATGACATACTAGCGTGTATTCCAGCGTGCAGACTGGACGCCTGTGCCAGAGTGAGTCTTATTACGTCTTACAGTGTGCTGCATTAATGCATGAGTAAGGCTTGGTTCAAACCAATCAGCGCGCTCTATTGTGCAACTTCATTAATATTCATTAGTGTCACCGTGTTTACGCCCCAGAGACGCCACGTTGTGTTGGCAAAACAAGCGTGAAGTGTTGCTTTTATAGTTTGCTGCAGTTAAGTTTCGTTTTCATTTTCTCTCAGTGAGAGCGCAGCTGGATCACTTGTGGATTAACGGTGTACGCGACGCTCGACAACAATAACTTACACGTCTAAGGAGGAACATTGTTTAACGTTACCTGAGAGCTGTTCTCATCTGCAAACGCTGAAATCCGGATTCGCTTGTAACGTTAGTCTCCTCTTCATAAAGACGCGGCTCTAGTTGCTGGTGATTGTCCTGTCTCTACAGATTTGGTAAGTGAGCGACCAGTGCTCTTTGTTTATTCAGTTTGTTCGTATCGAATTAAGTTAACTATTGCACTGAGTGCAAACATAGCACCGCATTTTGTGAGCGGAATAACACTTTCTGAAGCTACCTGCCGTGTGCATCTAAGTTTCCGGGAAATGCAGAGTTTTTTTTTTCTCTCATTCGCCGTGCGGTATCAAACATTGCATGAAAAATACACGCTTAGAGCAGCTTCTCGAATCAAATATCACGTTTGTCGCGAGGGGCATGAATGAATTCCCTGAATGAAAGAGCTGCTAACTGCTGTTAAAGTCCACCATTTAATAATTTGGCAAATAATTCGACTACAGATGTCCATGTAGGTTAAACACCATCACTTTCTCATGTGTGTGTATTTTGACTGAAACTCGCGCGTGCCCAAATAGACACTCCCACACCATCCCACTTTAGTTCCTCCGACACTCCCCCCTAAACAG